TCAACCATCCGTGCACTGTTTTGTTTTGATGCCGTGCACAGAGGTCCCGCCCCTTACGTCGCGCTACGTCGTGACGCTTCTCCACGTCGCAGCTCCGTCTCGCAGGAGAAGTCGCTGCGTCTGTATGCGTGTCTCCAGCTAGGCCGGAGAATGATGGCGGCGCCCGTCCTCAGAGTGTCCACCCCTCGGTGGGAAAGAATAGCCAGGCTTGTCGTTTGCCTCCTGGGCATACTGCTGTCTTTGTACGCTTTTCACGTCGAAAGGGAAAAGGAGCGGGATCCGAGTTATGAAGCCCTGTGCGACGTCAGCAGCTCCGTCAGCTGTTCAAAAGTCTTCAGCTCAAGGTAATTTGAATTGAGCAAAGAGCGCCTTCTGGCGCTACACCGAAGCTCAACTGGGAAGGGCTGCGCGGTTCAGGCTGTCAAAAGGCTAGTTCACTGCACATTAAAGGCTCGTTGTAAAACCCCGGCTTAACTGCAGAAGTGACTAATGATTCTTAGTGACTAGATGACCTGCCTGAATGAAATTAAAAGGTATTGTCATTTATTAAGCACAGAATTAGCCAGTTAGCTTTACGAGGCTAACTTTGCTAACAGTTAGCATGAGTGTTGTAGCCTCTTCGAAGCGCCTTGCTATCAACAGAGGGACGTCAGCACTGTCAAATAAACCTGTATTATCTGACCCAACTTCCTTACACATCTGTAACTTCAACCTTAGTACCGGAACTGGTGTCTTGAATAGACTAGTTTGTGTTTTTAATACTCGTTGAGTAAAACTAGCATTTCTTGTGGTTAYAAAATTCTTGGATTTTACAAGCCGGTTTTCCATCTGGAAGGCGGCCACATCAGCTGTCATTAAACAGCAAACAGACCTTGAGGTTAAAACGCACATCCTGACTACCTAMAGGGACATTAAAGTTAGCTGAATGAGAGATCATTAACAGGGTCTTTCAGGTTTCATTCAAACATTATTTGTGACCACATCTATCAGTGTTATTCTTTATGGGAGCAGGTCTACACCAGAAGCCACGTGTAATCTCTAGTTTCAAATAGTAAATAAATTTCAAATACAACAACAGTTTAGCTGCCAAATCATTCAATGAATTAATAAACAAACATCTGTAGAGTCCCCTTTAATAAACTATAAACCCAGCCTAATTGAATGCAGGCAGTCTTCCTTATTATTATAACTACTGAGCACTATTACTCGTCTTTTAAGCTGAAAAATGTCAGCTAAGAGTTCTTGTATTGAATCCAAACATGTCATGTCTTCTTCTTTTCTTTAATTTTAATGATAAATCACATAAGTTTGCATAAGAGGCTTGCAATTGAAATTCTACATGAAAGCAAGAAGCTAAAAACTGGCCATGAATGAAATATGTTTTCTATTAAAACATCCATCTCCTAACATTATAGTGCTAGTTGTGTTTTCAGACGTTGTGTGTTTTTTAGCATGACGTAGCAAAGAAGTTACTCTTTCTCCACGTTGTTGATCAAATCGATTCAGACATTTTTCTTGCAGTTTATGAGGGATGAAAACATTGCTCTGTTTCATACAGCTTAAAAACAATGTTCAGGCTTAAGGTAGATGACAATAAAATATATTTCATCTAAATACTGAACATATGACATGACAATCTGATGATGAGAACATGGTATTTTAGAGCCTGCATACAACGATGCTATGGTGGTAACAAAAAAAGTGACTTTTTTAAAAAAAAACTTTTATACCCAAAGAATGTTTTTCTGTCTAGTAGTGCCTATTCTGATTGCATGTTGTGTTTAATTATAAACGTAAGTATCCGATATTAAGAGCATGCAATTTGCTGCTACTTCTGAAAATTTCATTCAATTATCTCAAGAAATAAAGAAGTTATGTTCAATTTAGAGCAACTTCCGATACAAAAATTGCCGTAACTTCCTTATTTCATCACCAAATTAGACAATATTGGTGTTGATGTCTTAGTTTTTCCAGCTTTATAGCATTTGAAGAATTCATGGACTTTTTGTTTTCTCATACTTACATCATTTCTGAGACAACAGGCAAATAGGATTTAAAAACTAGTCTGTTGAGGAGGGATTTACCCGTATAAACGTTTGATATAAAACTGTGTATTCAGGCTCTGTAGATTGGTCTCAAGGATGTCAGGCCATTTTCCTGTTGATTTATTGATAACCTATTGATTGGTCGTTCAGGAGGAGGATTTCATTCACCTACAGCTTGTTGGACGGTCCAGAGATTAAATGCACGTGGAAAATGTTTAAAGCATTGCTGAACTATGTGATTTATTATTTTTTTCCCCATGTGGGGGATGCAGAGGGATATTTTAACAGCTGAACAGTTCATCACTTAAAAGTAAATACAGACTCGCATTCCTGTCAAGTTGTACAGTAAAGTTATTCAAATAAATAAATACTTTTGCACACAGATACAGTGAGCTAAAATCTGAATCAGTCACAACTCATGAGCGCTAACACATGATGCATTATTCTGCAAAACATTYTCAAAATTGTATCTAAAACAAATTTAAGTTTTATTTCTCAGCTCAGCAGGTGCCCTTTTAATTTAAAGCAACATTTTTAAACAGATTTTCTGTGTGTTTTTTGTACATTTTAATATCTAGTATTTCTTTTAAAAGTTGCACATTGATTAATGATTTTTGTGGCTCAGTGGTTAGAGAGGAAATTCTGTGATTGAGAGTCGCCGGTTTGAATCCCCTGACCATTACAGCAAAAAAAATCAATCAGTACTGATTCTTAAATATTTCTTCCTGTGTGATGTCACTTTTTTTCTTCATATTTTTTACTGTACAACCTTCTAGCACTACCTTTTATAAAACATTCTCGCATTTTGCCACATTTCTGGCTATTATTGTTGTAGCATCAAGTGTAAAAACCGATTATCAGTACGTCATTTTTATTCTAACTTTGACTCACCATTCTACTTTTTACCTGAAACCAAGTTTTCTATCAAACACTTCCTTCCTTCATTGCAGTTGCTTTTAAAGAGCAATACCTGGAAATGAAATGAAAATGGGACATTAATGATTTTTAAATACACAAACCAATCAGTTTATTTTGAACTAAAACAGCTGTTTCTTTCATAACGTAAGATGATCTAACTTGAAAGGATCTTTAATCCTTCAGGTTGTCTCACTGACTTCACCAGGACGACCGAGTGTTTAAAGTTGTCGCTGTGTTCTTTTCTGGTGTTTTTCCTGTTTAGGTGGGGTCGAGGATTCGGACTTTTAGGCTCAATATTTGGAAATGAGAGCGCGCTGAACCAACCTAACAGTGTCTACGGGGTYGTCTTTTACGCCTTTCAGCTCCTACTGGGTAAGATGTTGTTTTAAGTGGAAGTAGCTTGAAGTAAAATGCTGACTCTCGCTTTATGCCGCCATGTGTTRCAGTGATATTTGAACAAACCTGACTGACAGGATGCTGGAGTCATGTTGGATGACAGAATGTAAATGCGAACCACAGAAACTGTAGTTTCATGGATCTGTTCGAGTCTGACTCATGAAGATGCTATTTGACACAACACACACACTGAGGAGGGACTTTTAACATTACTCCTGGTGTGGGACTTGTTCCAACTTGACCTTTTTGTTTTAAACTTTAATCACATATTTTCCTGTCCTCTCAGCACAGTGGTGGTGCTGACTCACTTGTTAGTTTGACGTGTTTGCCTGCAGAGTGGCCTGTAGTGGCCACCTGGGTCTGGCGCAGAACAAGAGGTCCTTTTAGCCACAACAGTTAGGACTTATTTGACTAACACAGCAGCCCAGTGAAACCAAGCTGCCACAGCGGGTCCAGGATTTCCATATTTAAGACGGTGCCAGATAGTTTCAGCACTGATTATTTTGAAGAGCTGGCATTAACATGTGTGACTGATCAGACACAAGTGCTCAGCTCGGAGAACGAGTGTTCACACCTGGTATTAAAATGTATACACAGAGATCCAGTTTCATTTAAATAAACATAGTGAGCCATGGTGTGACAGCAGGTCTGCTGACGGTTCTGTACAAATTACATCCAAACTCCGATTATTGTGTCATTAACACACACATTAACAGGTGAAATGTCAGAGAAATAAATGAGTTTACAGGGACTCCACAGAGCTCAGTGAGAGACCAAAAMCTGAAGATTTTATCCCATAAAACTTCACTACAGTTCTGTTAATATAGCTTCTCTGTAAACAGAACATTAGTTAGGTGCACCTCATTTAATATATCGCTCCTCAGATTGTTGTTTTCTGATTGACGCAGCACATTATAGATTTACAGTCATCAYAGGGAGTCTAATCATTCTAAAAAACAAACATTTAACTAAGGAAAAATTCACCATCCAGTGTTCTGGTAATCTTTTGTTTAAATAAAATTTTTACAAAACAGACATTTTTACAGAGAGTGGTTCTGATAAACCACTAATAGTGTATTCAAGATGTTCCAAGAAGTCCAGATCAGGACTAAAATGGGGTCCAGACTACATCCAAAGTTGTTCTGAGTGGAGAAGTTGTTTTGAGAACCTGTATTTAAGACGATCTGAAAGCAGTCAGGTCTGAACGACGCCTTCATGACTGAGATCATTCAAGCTGTAAATTAGGTTGGACGAATGATGTGGCTCTAAATCCTGGATATAAAGTATTTGTACTTAGTTTCTTTCAAAGCTCTGCAGTACTACTTCAGCACAAACCCGAGTATGGCTCATTCTTTGTTTTTTCCATTTCGAAATAAAATCACAAAAAGAAAACTTTTCTTTAGTTTTTTCCATTTTTTTTAAACCTGAATGCAAAAATGTAAAATGGGACTAATGAAAATCCCACAAGTTTTCTGCTTCAGCAATCTAAATCCAAAATATGATTGTTTAACGTGAAGTGATACCGGAAAAGACGAGAATCGCCAAAAAACACGATTTTATCTTGGCTGGAAGTTAAACATTTTGACAGCGACTCCAACCGAACCCCGTTCTTTATAGCTTTGAATATTAAAGCAAATCACAGTAAAACCATCAAATCACAATGAGAATCGTCRGCTCCTAAATAAAACAAATGTGGAAAGAAGTGGAAACGTAATGTTGAAAGTTCAGGTCATGATGATTTCTGGTTCAAGGTCCTAAATGTTGCACAAACAAAATATAAATCTTATCTTTGCTTTAAGCATTAAAATGAAAATAAGATTTTTTTGTTTTGCAATTATTTTATTAATTTAGCAAAAAAAAAACTTCGTTTTTTTTCTCATTTTGTTTTGAAACAGAAAAAAACCCAAAGAACAAAGCATACATGGATCCTCACAGAATCTGTTTTAAATTCAGTGAAAAGTGACTGATCACAGTAGGTTACAGAATTCAGYTGAGAAACTTTTACATTCCTTTTTAGGATAATCCAGCCAGATTACATTGGTGCTTTCAGTTTGAAAGGGGAACGTGTGAAACGAAGCGTGGAATAACTTTCTTAGGGAAGTGAGAAACTCTTAACTTTGTGCTTTAATTCTGATCAAAAACACCAACAAACACAAACGTCCAGATAAATCAGATCACTTCCTGTCACGCATCATGTGACGAGAGAATAACGTGACCGGTCTGCTGAGCGTCATCATGAGGACATGTAAGAATTATGGATAAAGGGAACGGTCTGAGTGGAAAAACAGCAAACTCATTGTGTGTGTGTTCATTGGCTAAGCTGTCGTCTGTGTTTTTTGCCGCAGGGATGACTGTCAGTGCAATGGCTGCCCTTTTTCTCATGATGACGTCCATCCTGTCCGTGGTGGGCTCGCTCTACCTGGGTTACATCCTCTACTTTGTCCTAAAGGACTTCTGCATCATCTGCATCACCACGTACGCGCTGAACTTCATTCTCTTTATCCTCAACTACAAGCGACTGGTTTACTTGAACGAGGCCTGGAAGCAGCAGCTCCAGGTCAAGCAGGACTAAAGCTGCGGAGAAAAAAAAACAAAACAACAAAATAAAAGAAAAAAAAGAACGTGACCTCTGAACATTTGACTCGCCACCAGGAGACCTTGCTTCCAAACAATGTTTATTCTGCTGTGTGTTTAAAAAAAATGAAGAAATTACCATAAATGTCGCACCTGGCATCTCATTGATTGCAAACACTGAAGGGTTTGTATGTGAAAGATGTTTTTTTTTTTAAATCTCCCTGCCTTGTTTAACCTTATACTCCCACTGATGGTGCCGGCTGCGTGTGTCTCTGCGTGTGCGGGCGAAACACCCACCCCCCCACCGGACAACCTGAGCCCACAACACAGACTGACGGAGGACGGCTTTCACGTGAACAAAAAGGATCGCGAAGTGGAAGGAGAAAGAGGACTTTTATTAGGATTTATTTTATTTTTTTCAGTGTACTTGAAATTGTTAGAAACTTTCTATTACTGCACAGATCATCTGCACTAAAACTCAGAGCTGAGGAGAGGTCGCAGACAGAGGGGAAACAAACAGCGCTCATCTAGTCAAGCTTTCACATAAGGTTCATGGCAGGTCGAGAAGAGGGTTAGCGTTTATATTGAATTATTATTTTTCCCTCATGTTTACACTTTGTAGTACATTTTCTTTTTCGACAAGGACCACTAAAGAATAAACGCGGGACAATGTGAGGTATTGTGTAGATCGGTCGGATTGTTTCGTTTGTTTATTTTATTTTGTATTTTTCTTTGCAACTCTGTAAATAGCTGCTGAGCAATATTTCAGGCTAGATTGTGATTTATTTTTGTTTTAATGTGATGATTAAAACATCCGACGGAAGCGAAACGTGAGTAGGCGGAGGTGAATCGACGAGACGATGCGATCCTGGTCACAGGAAGTCGTTCCATCTTTAAAGCAGAACTGCGGGTTCTTTTCACTAAGTTTGCAAAAAAGGCACACTCACTTCTTTTTTTTTTTAACTATTATTTTTTGTTGTGTGCGTGAAAAGCATTCCTCACCACCACACAAGTGGGATCGTATGTGCCTAAAGGAGTGTTAAGGTGAATTCACCTCTCTAAGTGTTTTTGGGTGTCCGTTTAATTATTTTTCCCCTCGTCTTGTTGTCACAGGGGCATGGCTTTATTTTGTTTTTATGTTCATATTTTTGTAAATGAAGATACCAGTGAAGTGTTTCTCCCTTCCTAATAGTCTCAYGAGGTAGCAACAAGCCTGCTACACTGTGACGGTCGGCCCGGCAGCTTGAGGGGTCCCTCATCCTGCGGTTAGACTTGACGCTCGCCGAGTCTCGGCAAACATTGGGTTGAACAGTAGCAGTGATCTGATCTGAGTTGAGTTACAGTTCATTTTCAGGGTGTGAACAAAACTAACGCTGTGGAAACAGCACACAAAACCAGATAAGACGACGTGGCGTTGAGCCATTTGTTTTTGTTTTTCCAAGTCTGTCACTGTTTTCTGTCGCACCGAAMGGTCGATCTAACGTGGTCATAGTTTTATCCAGAATCCAGCCTTTGGACAGTTTTACACATTTTCAGATTGTTAGAATAATTAAGGTCTGGCTTATCTGTGGTAATAAACTATGTAGTAGATTTTACATTCCCAGTCATCTGTCATAAAATACAAATGGTGAAGCACTGAAGATGAACGATACCCTTTTTAAATTGTTTTTTTTCCTACTTCCTACCATTTATTTTACAGGTGTTCACCTAACGAAGTACATTTACTTTGTTACAGTAATCAAGTATTTTTTTTATCGCAACTTCTATTTTTATTTTGTTACATTTGAAACAAAAAGAATAATTTTATTTTACTTTACTTTAAAATTTAATAGCTCGTTAAGCTACAAATTGAAATAAGACCACAACTCATTGAAAGGAGTGATTAATGCACTCTAAAAAAGGAAGAGTTGAATTTACTTACAGAAGTTAACTGGTTCCACTGAAGAGTTGAGTAAATGTTTACCCATTTCCCTTGACAACGTGTAAATTATGGTTTAGTGGAACCAGTTGACAAAAACGTCTTTAAATAAATTCAACACTTCGTTTCTTAGAGTCTATGAAAAATTATTTTACTTTCTCAATAATTGTCAGCAGTTTTATGACTTCAGTACTTTTCTTATCAGTGAAATTCATTTTTTTTTTTTACTTTAGTCATTATCAGAATTTTCCTCCTTATATTCCAGGGAGACCTTTTATTTTCTTTAARCTGTTTGATTTTTCTCCTGTTTAAGTAAATGTCTGATGGTAACACTACTGCTCTCCATGGTTCATGTTTGACGTTTTGGGACTTGGTAAAGAAATGAGCGAATGTGCCTGATGTGCTTTCATATAAATGTTTATGCTGTTATGGAAATCTGAGTTAGTCGACACGTTAAAAGTCTTTGCCATATTCAAAATAAATGGAACCAATGGGCCGCCTGGAAAAGAAAAGCTCATTTAGATATTGTTTTTTTTTGTTGCCGTTTAGATGATCATTAACAGTAATGTTGAAAAGAAAAACTGAGTGTGTGTCCTTCACTGAACATGATCAGTGTTTTTATTGTCTTAAGAATTTATTTGGAAAATCTTGAGTTCACAACACTGTTTTTTTGTTTTGAAGAATTCCTCCTGCAGGAAACTCACAGAACCTGTTTGTATTTTTATTTCTCGACAGCAGGTATACCCCACTGACAAATGATTCTGGTCGCGCACAACCTCTTTTTTTTAATGATTGGGAACGTCGAGTCGAAGAGATCTCTTTACCGTTTAGATTACTTGATGTCGAAGCGATCGACACTCCATTCTCATCCATATTTGTGACGACCCTGGGTATAACTGCCATGTTTAGATGCATCACTAATGCCAACAAAAGTGCCTTCTGTCTGATCACTAGGCCTCGAGCCAAAGATAAGCAACAGGAATGGCCTTGGGGTGAAAAATAAAAAAGGATAAAAGCATCAGGCACGTCTCACTTGCCTTCCTGAGAATGGAATCCAAATTGGTAATTCCCAAAGATTTAATTCCTAATAACTGCAAAAACCCATTCACAACCTGCTAACAATAGATCCTGTTAAATCACCGGCTGGTTTTATTTTTTCTGGACTCCATGTAACTATCTTCTAGCTAGACTTGTTTGTTAGCTAGAATCTCGCTTTGTTCAAATAAGATTGTAATGTTTTTTTTTTATTATTATTGTTTTACTCCCAACCACCATTAATTATGCCCTTTAGGTGTATAGACTGTTAACATTCTGGGTTATTTTAGTAAAAACAATGAAAAATAAAAAAGTTGAGGGGATGGAGGAATAGAAATCCATGTGTCAGCAAAACAAAAAAAAAAGATCAAAATTTGTTGTGGAGGAAAACTCACTGGGTTTGCTTCTGTGTTGCCAAATATGTTTGAAAAAAATTGTATGTTTCACACATGGAAAAGTGTTACGTGGAAGGTGCAGAAATCYGTTTAAATCCAGCTGATCTTGTGGGGAAACTGTCGAGCAAACTCTGAACTGAAGTGTCGTCATGTGGAAATGATCTACCATTAAAACATTCCCTCTGAAACCACCTGTCCCTTTAACTCATTTAAATTCAACAAAATTATTTGTTTTTTTTATGTGAGGTTTGAGCTACACTTTGTCCAATCAAATGTTCCAGTTTTACCGATCAAAGGTAATTAAACAACGCAGCTTTTCATGTTTGTAAAACCTTGAAAGTAACTCGTGTTATCCCAACATCTGGTACTTCACCAGATTTTAGCCAAATATAACTAAAACAATTTTACTGTGGCCACCTTGAACTGGGTTGACTCTAGAAATGATTATTTGGCATTTCATGGGATATTTCATTAACCCTACAAATAGACAAACATCTTTATGCTGGTGGGKGATATGTTGAAGATGCACTGTATGAAAAGTATTCAAACACCTGCGGGTTGAACTCTGCTGTTTCAGTCAGACTTCTGATCTTCACATTGAGGCATTTGAGCTTCAAACTTTGTGGCATCACTTAGGGAAACTATCCAATCAGACTCTACCCTGGTCCACGTGTCAAACTTAAGGCCCGCAGGCCAAGTATGGCCCACCATGGCACTTTATGTGGTCTGAAAAAGCTTTAAAGTGCCTGTGACATGCATATTCTTCAAATACAAAACGTCAAAGAAAACATCTTTATATTTAAGAAAGTTAGAATAATACACACGATTTAACCCATTTTGTCCCATAACTGGCTTATTTTCTTTTGAACTTGGCTCAGCCAAAGTGAAACAGGAAGTGACATCAACAAAGAAAACCCTCTGGTCTTTGTTTATTGAAACACTATTATTTGAACTGACTCTTCATCTCTCTGATAAAGACTCAAAATAATCTAAAGAAACATCAGATTCTTCTCTACAGTCTGGGTTGTTAGTCATTGTAGCAAAGCTCTGTTCACATGCAGACATTCCCCTTTGACATCACTTCCTGTTACTTCACACGCAAATATCTTAACAACTGTTCATCTCAGCGACATCAAATTTCTTTTGCAATATTTTATCAATGTCCTCTTTCTAAAAATGCATTCATATGTATTTGCAAAAATACATCACAGGCACGGTTGCTTTAAAGCATCTCCAATAATGCATTTTAATTATTTTTCCAGCAAAATGACACTAGGTGACTAAGTGGAGGTAAGTAACTGGTAAAAATCTCTATTTTGCTGTAATTTTACTGGCTACTTTTGCTGCTGTATTGTTTATTTCACATTTAGTCAGCCGTACACGTAGTACTTTTCAGAGTCTATAATTAGAAGAGTTGTTGAAAAACTGTTTCTATGCAGGAAAGACCACAGTTATTGTTAGCGGTGTTCAGAACGAGACGAGGAATGGTTTGTGTTTAGTCGAAGTCAAACTTGAAATCAAAGAAAAGTTGGTAACTGGCCCTTTGAGGCCCACCACAGTGCTCATGACAGTTTGGTGTGTTGCTGAAAACAGAAATCAGATGAAATGACTTTAAAACGTTTGAGATGAACTACTGTAAAAGATGGCTGTAGAAGACAAAATGTTCAGGATTGTTTTAAAAATATCTTTATTGATTCAAACACATTGAGCACTGCATGGTTTTTAAAAATATAGAGTTTCTGATTAGATTTAGCTTTGACATTAACAACACAGTAACATACAGGGCAAAATGGACAAAAAGAATCAAACACTGGTTAAACTACTCCATTTGGTCAGTCAGCTTAATGAGAAAATGACTTCAAACATGATCGTTTTCTTACGACGGTTTCTTTAATCTGTGAGTTTATTTTGTTTGTTTTTACATGTCAGTATCTCTGGTCCAGCCTTTACTCAGGTATACCAATAGCACACCTGTGTATTAGTTATGTGATGGTACCAGCACCACTCTTTGTTTCTTTTTGCAACATTTAGTCAGTTCAGCAAAAGAAAAAACTAAAATAAAATGTAGTGATTTCGTTCATAAACTCAGGCAGCTTCAGTTTGAATTATTAAACTAAAAACATGTTTATTTTTATGTTTATTTCGATTAAAAAGTTATTTAATGAGTAAGACTCAAGTTGCAGAGTTACAGACTTAAATGTAAATATACTGACATCCAGTTATTCAGTCCGATTTGATAAAAGATCAATTTAATTTATTCTGCAGATGTTAAGTTCTACTTATAGTTGCAGTTTTTTAAAACATTTGATACATTTTTTCACCCTTTTAAAGCTCAAAAGTTGCACTAAAGACTGACATTTAAAATTGTATGATGTATTAATAAAAAGAAACTACAAAAATAATAAAAAGAAACTACAAGATTGTGTCACTGTTTAAATGCAGACATTCATTGGTCCATAAAGGTCTGACCTGAGGCAAAGAGTTTCCATGAGGCTGAAGCGGTCCTGGACCCAGTTCTCTGTAGTCTGTGGGTCAGAGTGAACAGGGGTACTTGGTCCACAGAGGCAGCCTGCCCGTCTCGTTCGCCAGTCTCCAGTAACGCTCCTTCAGGATGAAAGCCGCTGATTTAGGTTGTCTTTGTCGAGTAAAAATGCCCTTCTTGTTCCCGACCACTCGAGTGATCCCTGCGTAAACAGAAACAAAACAAAACAAAACAAAATACAAATAAATAAATAAATAAATTAATAAATTGTTTTAACAAGTTACAAGGATTTTTGTAAGTCAAACATTTTTTAAGGAGTTGGCAGTAGAACAGGGAGTAGAATTTTTTTTAGCATCTTTTTTGCTACAAAGTGAAGTTTGTTTGGATTAAAGGGATAGTCTGGTGATTTTTCTAGTGATGTTCAGTCAAATATTTATCTGGTTAAAATGATATCCGATGAGTTGGTGACCCACTTTTTTGAGAAACTGAATTTTCAGCCTAAGTCTTAGAGAAATCCGAGTATTTGTGACGAAGCTAACACAGCGATAGTTTTAGAAAATCACAGCCCATGTTTGTGTGCACAGTTTGCAAACCTGCATTCTTGGCCGTGCGCATGTCCACCTCCACCCACCTTCATGGTCACCCCCAACATTTACAATTTGAGTCTTTTAATAATTATGCTTAATCAGCCCCTTAGACCTGACTCTTGGAGGTTTTCTGTCAGAGGAGAGTTCTCCTGTGCAGGTGTCAAAAAACTGCTTCAATGCCCTTTAACTTGGTTGGAGACATCTGGTAAAAATTCTGACAGGGTTGAGACAGATTGGCAGAGATGGGTCTAGTAACCAAAGGTTGTACTTTGAGTAGCACTAATTTAACTTATTTTTTTTCTAGTAAAAATAAGCAATCCAACAAATTATTCAGAAATAAGGTAAAAAAAGTATTTTGTAAAAAAGTAGCAGATCATAACATCTGATTCACAGTTGTGTGCAAATTAAGATTAAAATGAAGAAAAAATATAATTTCACACACTGTAAGCA